AGCCACATCCAGAGAGGCTCTCTGTGCTGAAGTGTCTTGTAAGCTACCCCAGAGTATTGGTGTGTGGGGCGGCAGCAATGTTATGCTGCTGATGCTGGTATTATGTCTGCTATCCCAGTACATGGCACTATGCAGGCAGGCAGCAGGGTGAATGGCCAGCATGGCACAGAAACACACCAGCTCCTCCAGCCCAGCTCTCCCACCTAAAGTGAAGGGGATGCATTGCTGGAGGGAGAGCAGTGTTTTACATAGCTGTGTCCTGGGGCATGAGGCTGCTTTTTTCTTATATCTGCACATGGCTAGTAGCATAACTGAGGGGACTACCCAGCAGGACTGCACCTCCCATAATGCGCCATAACCAGGAGCCTTCAGGGGGCAGCCACCTTCCCTCTCCTGTCATGGGACCATTGAAAAGGGACCATGGCGGTGTTGAATTCCAGCTCAGTAGAGGGGTTTCCAAATTGAAATATTTGGGTTTGGGCAGAATAGTTTGATTTAATACTTTGCTGAAAAGCAGTTTGCCACCTTATGTTACACACACACACACACACACACACTCAACACACACATTGCTGAGCAGCTCTTCTCAGCACATACTGTGCTCTCATGCTTCTTCCTCCCCAACACACTGGGTGGCTACGACAGACAAGTCATTCTCTTATGTCTTGTCTCAAGTGGGGCAGTGCCATTCCTAAGTCTGGGCATTGTGATGTCTGCGTAGTGCTCCGAGTAGGTGAAGTGCTGCCTTTGGGCTAAGCCCAGCTCCCTGTAGGTGGGGGAGCCCCTGGCAGGGTCTGTGCTGGGCTGTCCCCGTGTCACCCAGCCAGGCTCTGAGGAAACCAGAGGCAGGAGCCAGAACACGTCAGACACCTGTGATAGACTGGGCCTGAATGCAAATGCTCTTTACCCAGCTCATTCACTGTTCACATACAGCACACGCAAGGGGTGTTTGGAAGGAGAGGGGCTCCCCTGTCTGAGCTGTGCCTCAAGGCTGGAGGGAGGGAGGCCTGCTCCTGCTTGGGTTTGCTGCCCAGTGAATCCCTTATACCACATAGAAGTTCATGGGAAACCCCAGGGGTTGAGCCAAAGAGACCTTCCTTCTCTTAACTAAGGGCTGCCTGCCTAGGGTCATCATCATAGAGGACAGTCCGGTTGTCTTCTGTTCTCTATTGATACAAAACTGGATGACTTTATGTCCTCTATGTTTCTCTCAAAGAGAAACATAGAGGACAGGGGACAGAGTAGCAGAAAACTGGAATGTCCTCTTTGATAGTTACCCTGTGCCCGCCCCAGCTGGGGCGGTTTCACAGAGCAAGCCGCAGGGAGGGTTCCCTGACAGCAGGTCACTGGAGCCTGTGCAGAGAGGTGAAGGAGGAGACCAGCACACTGCATCTGCCTGGAGCTAACACCCAGTGGGCCTGGCTCAGTGAGTGCTCACTGCAGTGCAGGGCAAGCAACAGCCAGCGGATGCACCATATCCCAGACTGCTGGGAGCTCGACTGAGGTGAACCACCAGCACTGAGATAGCTTGGTGTCAAGGTCAAACCATGCCATTTAGCCACTAGAACTACACTGGGAGGTGGCCAGTGAGTTACAGGAACTGGGGAGTGAGAACATGTGTGGAGAAAAGCTTCTGGGTCTGATCCCATCTGGGCTGTTCCTAACCAAGCCCCTTCCCTATCCTGTGCTCCTCTAAAACAGGACATTGGAAGTGTAGCATGGACAAACGTGCCCTGGGCAGCTGTCTCTCACCTTGCCCCTCTCTCTCCACCATCCTCCTACCTTCTCAGTGGCAGGCAGGACTGGAGAGAGCTAAGAGCCCCAGTGTCCTGGGATGCAAGGCATTTTGGGAATTGTAGTTCTCTCAGTGGGCAGGGAAGTTTGCAGCTGCCAGGGGAAAACATTCACCTCATTTTTTCCCACTGACACCCATGTCCAAAGGGCAAAAAAAATATTGAATTCAGTGGCAAAAAATGGGGGCCAGTTCTCCCCTCAGTAACTGCAAACTCCACCACTGCTCTACAAAACAATGGTTGTGGTCTAGGACACACAAGGTCTGCACCAACAATCTGTCTCAGAGGCAGCCAGCAGACACCGAGGCAAGAAATAGCCCCAAGGTGAGCCCTTGCTCCTCCTTGCATTCTCCTGGTGCCCCTTCCCTTCGGTAGCGCCCGGGGCATGTGGTGAAGCATGTGGAAATCTGTAGATGAAATACATGGGGGGAAAGCATCCTTGTGGGGAAGGGATAGTGCTGTCAGCTGGGCCCTGGTGCTCTGGGGGTTGTTTCCCCTCATATGAAGAGCAGAGGGGCTGTGTGCAGCAGAGTGAGGATTGGCAGCCCCTGACCATCAGAGGTGAGACAATCCCACCTTTGATGAGGGTTACAGGACTCTGGCTGCACTGGGCACATTACAGCCCTTTTGCAGCTAAAGCTAATTCTTCTCCCCCTCTCCCCTGGCACAGGACAGGCTTCGGCACCCCTTACTTGGTGCTTTGTCCACAAACACACAGGGAGAGAGCAGGGAAAGCCACCCACTGTGCTGCAGAACAACACAGCCCTTGGTGGAAGGAAAGGGGGCAGGCTCTGTCTCTTGCAGCTGAGACAAGTTCTCTCATTTTCAATACACTGAGTGGCAGAGTCTAGTTTAGCAGATGGGTCCCCTCCCCCTCTTCCATGACATGGCCTTCCCAAGCTTTCAGCTCCTCTTCCCGTCAGCTGTCCCAGCAGAGCAGCCGTGTGCCATGCTAAGTACCCCTTTACAGAACCGTAACAACTGCCTCCCATCGGCCTCTACACACATAAGCTGCATATGTGCGTGGGGGGGCTCCACCTGATTACACAGGCCTGCCATGTGTACCTTTGTAGGCAGGGCATGGGCTTGCTTGCCCCTTTGCATTCATGGGGCAAAGCTGCATATATGATACCCTGGTGTCCCCACATCTGCTCTCCCGCTGTGCCGCTTGTGGACACTTCTTGAAATGTCAGCATTTAAAGGAATCTGCAGCAATTTTTGGTTACTGCTGTTTCTATTTTGAGAGCATCTCCCTGCTGGCTCTCAGATGTTCCTCTAGTATCCAAGCCCCTCTCTGTCCTAAATGTATTTCTCCTCACGATCCCCAACAAGGCAGCGTGGGGCAATTATCCTTGTTGTACAGGCACAGAAACAGGCATGGAGGAACTTGCCCACAGTCACACAGCACGGCCAGCACAGGAGCAGGGACTTGAACACAAATATCCTTTGTCCTGGGTTTGCACCCCCACTCCAGGAAGCCTCAGAAACTGATATTCCCTCTCTTGATTGCCTTAGAAACTGTGCTCTCCCATTCATGCCCTGACTCCACTTCCTCACGTGCATCAGCACCCGTTTTATACCCACCTGAATAGGTGCCTCACAGAGCTACTTTTCTTTTGCTCCTCTCTTTGCTTGACATATGCTGTCCAGCAGCATTTGACATACACGGCCCAGCAGCGTTTCTCTTTGGTGCCTTGTTTCTGGAAAAATGTCCAAGACACCAGCTCCCTTCCCCTAACCCAGTCCCAGGCCCTGGCAGCTCTGCTCTGGACCCCAATGAAAAGGGCCTGCTTCATACTAAAACTTTTGACTTCTGCCAGTCCTCTTAGGCCAGTTGGCCAAGGCCGTGCACACAGATGCAGATTCCTTGGTGATTTTCCATCTTTGTTTCTCTGGCCCTCCCTCTGGCTTTTTTCTAGCCCCTGGGAGATTATATTTGTGTGGGAATCTCAGTCAAAGCCCTCTGGCAACTTGCCTCCTAACCATTCAGTTTCCAGCCTAACAGGTAACAAGGAAGGATCAGACCAGCCGTGGCATTTTGAGTCAGCTGGCATTATTGCTGGCAGGCCCTGGAGGGCAACTGTGTCTGGCAGTGTGGCACAACATGTGATCCAGTGTGTCATCCTACATTTACCAAAGCAGGCTGGTGACCTGGTGCATTCCTCAAGGCACAAGCTATGGGGAGCTCAGCTTTTTGCACACTTGTCTCAGCGAGGGGATTTCATGGCCCCACCTGCAAGGGAAGCTAGATGGGAAAGCACTTTGCTCTCAGCATGTGTCAAGCATGGGTTCAGTTTCTGGCTCATTTATAGACTCTATGACCCTCAGACTTTCCATGCCCCAGTTCCCAAGGTCAAAGGGACTCAGCTATTTTATTCTGTGAGTTGTATTTGCCCCTGGTGATTACCTGACAGTGACCTTCATGGGTGCATGGGGCTCCTCTAGCTGGGCTGCACTGAACCAGTTGACAGCAGCTGTGAGCTGCTGGTGTTGCCCTTCCCAAGTGACTTGGCATAAAGGAGAGAGGGAGGTGTAAAGAGTTTAAGGAGCCCAATTTATGTGTCACATGATATCTCCTGAGGCTGCCACTTGGCCCCTAATGGTGCCCACCTGCAGGTGTGACAGCATGACAGTGTGAGTCCCTGTTCCATGCTCAGGGAACAGGGTCTGGTGGCTGTAGATGTCTCCTTTTCCCCTTCACCTTCAGCAAAACTGTAGGGTACAAGAGGGAAGGGAGAGATTCCAAGAGCCGTAGTTAGAGGCTTGCTGTGGGAGGAGCTGGCTGGATAGCAAGGACCTCGCATCCTGCAGATGCAGAGTGCTACACACACACACCCAGTTTCATCCTCAGCACCTGCATTTGAAAAGTTGAGAGCAAAGCAGAAAGGTGACATTGTCACTAAGGGCCACACGGCCCATCCCAAGCAGCCCCCATCCTGTTGGCACCCACTGGGCTGGGCCTCTCACTGCACTTGGCAGGGCTAAGCACAGTACCTAGCTGCCTGTAAGAAGTGCCAGGACTTATGCCAGCAGAGCCCTTGGATGTCATCCTTGCATACCCCTGCTGGGTGTGGCAAGGCCAAAAGGATCCAAGCCAAGTGGTCTCATATTATCAGTATTTCTGGGCATCTGTGTTGCCTGGTAGTGCCTGACATACGCACTCCAGTGCCATGTGGCAGTGCTCACCCAGCCTCTGCTGTCTTCCAGGTGGTGGTGCCCACCCGTGTGGGACAGGTCTACATCTACGATTCCCCCAAGGGTGAGCAGGATGAGTACGACATTCCCCGGCATCTGCTCTCATCTGGCTCCCAGGAGATCTATGATGTGCCCCCCATCCGTGGAGGCCTCATCAGCCAGTACAGCCAAGAGGTGAGCTCTGTATAGGAGGAACTGGTCACCTTTGGGTACAGATCCAACGTGGATCAATGTATCCCTTCGAGGGGGCTGGTTTCTTCCCTCCCTCCTGCAGGGTATGCCTCCCCAGGTCCTGAATCTGCCCATTAGCCCTGGGGACAGGTAACTTGCTCAGGGGCAGCTCATTGCTGTGGAAGGATGGTGACACATCACCCCAGGACTTTCTCCTTTGCCCCCTAGAGGTCTGCCAGTATCCAGTGTCTCCAGTGTCTGCCCTGTCTCAAACCAGAAAACAGGGGACGCTGAGGTGGGAGTGGATGGAAGGCGCTATGAGCATCTGGGTGTAAAGGGAGTATCCAAAATGATCAAAATAATGCAGGGGTAAGTAAAGTCTGGCCTGCAGGCCGAATCCAGTCTTCAGTGGACTCCATTTCCCAGCAGCCCCTGCCCACATTGCTGTGACCAGTTTATGTGGAGACCCCAGCAGCAGCCCATGACAGCACAAGGCCAGGATTTCCCATAGAGACCAGCCCCAGCAGTGCTGGCAGAGTGTGCGGCTGGGTGGTGAGCTGCTCCAGGGCCAGGGATGTGGCGTGCAGTGTGGGGTGTGCAGGCAGCAGATCACAGCTCTGCCCCAGCTTTGGACCACACTGTCACCACTGCAAGTCCCCAGTCTGGGAACAGCTCCCCGCCCAGCCGCATGCCCTGCCAGCGCTGCTGGGGCCAGTCTCCATGGAAATCCTAGCCCCCTGTTGTCGCAACCTCACCACTGCTGAGGTCTCCATAGAAACCGCCTGCAGTGATGCAGGCAGGGGCTGCTAGGAAATGGAGTCTAACCACCAGCCGGATTCTCCATTTTGCCCACCCCTGCACTAGTGGGTCTGAAAGGGATATTGGACCTTGTCCTGTTAGAGCCCAGGAGAACAGATGCCCAGGGCAGCTTGCGCATGTCAGCCACTGCAGTTTGTGCCCCTTCCTCTGATGCCGCAGGCACTGGGTTCTGTTACAAGCCAGCCTGGGGCAGAGTGTGGCTCAGGTCTGCCCCAGCTGGAAGTTTCCAGGTTGCAGTGGAATATGCGAGTAGAAGGGAGGATCAGAAGAGATGCCTGATCCAGCACCTTTCCTTGTCCTGCCCTAGGTGTATGACACACCTCCTATGGCGGTGAAGGGTCCCAATAGCAGAGAGCCAAGCCTGGAGATCTACGACATCCCACCCAGCGTGGAGAAGAGCCTGCCGTTCCAAACACATCAAACTGTAAGTGATGCTAAGAAGCACCCCCCAGCCAGGCATCACAGCAGAGAGCAATGGTGTGGGGGGATTCCTTTGCTGTGCCAGGGCTGGGCAGGAAAGTGGAACTATGTTCATGTTCCTTTCACAGCCCAGTGACCCAGCTGCCCTGCAGCCCAGAGGGCAGCATGGGATACTAGCCAGCCATTTCCCATGCCAGTGCTCTCAGCCTCCCCAGCATGGCAGTGCCTTTACAGCACTTTCAGAGGTACCTTGCATGGTGGCAGGGGCAGGGCAGAATTGTTATGCCAATTGTGAAGTTGATCCAATATCAGATACCACACACAAAAATCCCTGCTCCTGGAATCAGGTCAGACACACAGAGCTTCTGAGTGGGGCGGGTGCCACATTTGGAAGCTGGATAAGCACTACAAGGAACAGTGGCTGGAGGCTTTGTGTCATTCCCTAATATGCCCTTGACATGTGGAAATATCAGCTCTGGGAGAGGGGACAGGGAGATGCACTCAGCCCACAGGGTCACAAGGAGATGGAACTGAGGGCAGGCAGCAGTAGAGCCAGCCTCAAGCCCTCTAAAAGCATGAGTCAGGCCCCCAGAATTGTGTGCTTGTGTTAGTAACCATGAGAGTTTTTTCTTCTGCTAATGAAAATCCAAGTGTGTTCCTTACTTTCTGTGCGTGAGCCTTTGGCCTGCCCCTGAGATGTCTCTCTGAGCTCCTTTCCCTAATTACTGTGGTAGAAACGTCTTCTTTCTTCTTTTTAATTGAAGCTGAGATTTTTACCTATTCACCTGTCTCCAGGAGCTGGAGCTTTCAAAGTAGCATGTTTCAGGAGCCTGGTGAAAGCTCCAGAGAGCTGGCCACCACTGAGCTTCAGGTTAACAGCTGTCTCTCAGGTCAATCCTGGAGCATTGTGTCTTGGGCTTGCTGTTGGCTGTGGCAGTGTGCCATGTGCACCTGCTACTCTGGGTGGCAATGTTGGTGCTAGCCTGTTTGCACCCAGAGCAAGGATACTTATTTCATGCCTGTTTTGTGCCCTTCCAGTCTGAACTGGCAGGGTAGCACTTGGATGCATTGCTGTGCTAGATGGGATAGTCCTGCCCCTCTTTTCTCCGCCACAGCCTAGAGCAGCAGGGTTTCTTTCTAGGATGGAGGAGATCTCAGGGATCATGACCCATCATAAAGTTTCCCTGACTTGACCCTGCAGTGCTGGCCAGTGGGCACCCATATGCCAGTGGAACAGTGCACAGCACAGTGGGAGCCCCTCCTGAGTCCTTATCAGTACAGAGAACGCCTTTCACTGGCAATTTCTATAACCAGGACAGCAACAAAAGGCAGAGTGTTTGCTCTGTGACAAGCTGGCATGGATGCTCAGCTGGCTCACTGAAGGGCCATTATGTGCCTAGAGGTGCTATATTCAGCACCTTCCACTATGCTTCAGGGGTTGGAGAGGTGAGGCATGCACATGTGCGTACACACACACACACATCACTATGAGGTCACCAATAAATTCATGATGTAGTCCCGCAGTCCTGTGATTTGCTGTGGGACTGGGAGTATTCTGTGGCAGGAGAAGCATCAGGAAGAGAAGCAGGCCTAACAAATGCCATCTGTTCCCTCTGCAGGTGTATGACATTCCTCCATCTGTGAGCAAAGATGTCCCAGATGACCCCATCAGAGAGGAGACCTATGATGTTCCCTCTGCTTTCACCAAGCAGAAGGCCTTTGACCCAACCCGGCACCCCCTGATCCTGGCTCATGCATCGTCGGCCTCACAAGAGCACTATCTGCCCGAGGACATCTATGATGTGCCCCCTCCAGCTGGGAAAGGGGCCCCTGAGGTGTCCCTCTCACAGGAAATCTATGATGTTCCACCTAGCCTGAAGAAGCTGGGGGGACCTGTGTTCCCAGTGCAGGATGTGTATGACGTACCCCGGGAGCTGCACACTGGGAGTAAGGCCTCCACAGATGCTGAGGGCGAGTATATCTATGATGTCCCTCCCCAGGTGGACCGAGAGACCAAGGCAGGTGATGCCAAGAGGCTCTCAGCCTCCAGCACAGGCAGCACTAGGAGCAACATCTCCACATCCTCTCTCGACGTGATTCCAGTGAAGGAGTCAGCTGCCGTGTCCAAATGCCCCAGCAAGGAGCTAAGCTTGGACTTGGATGTTGCCATGGAGATGCTGGCCAAGCTGCAGCACGGCATCAGTAGCACTGTCTCCCACCTCATGTCTTTTATCAGTGGCAGCTGGAGAAGCCCTGAGCAGATGGAGGCCAATGCACAGAGCATACAGGCGGCAGTGGAGAGCGTCAAGGTGGCACTCAGGGACTTGCTGGAGTTCGCACGTGGGGCTGTGGGCAATGCAGCCCAGGCCTCTGACCGCTCCCTCTACACCAAGCTTAGCAAACAATTGCAGAAGATGGAGGATGTCAACCAGGCACTAGTGAGGCACAGCCAGGCACTGGACAGTTGTGGCTGGGCCCTCAGCACCCTAGTGGCCAGCAAGCCAGGTTGCACTGATGACCTGGATCGCTTTATCATGTACTCACGTGGCATCCCTGACGACACCAAGCAGCTGGCATCCTTCCTGCACGGCAATGCCTCCCTGCTCTTCAAACGGACAAAACAGCCAGCCACACTGGTGGATGGCAATAGCCACCTGCCCACTTACCAGACAGGGTCCTCTGACAAGGCTAGCAGCATCCAGTCACGGCCCCTGCCCTCCCCACCCAAATTCCTAGCACAGGAGTCGCCAGATGGACCATATGAGAACAGCGAGAGTGGCTGGATGGAGGATTATGACTATGTCCATCTACAGGTGGGTGTGGGCAGCAGTGAGGGACTTCCTTACTCCAGGGAGTGGGGCCACATCAGAGCAAGATGGGGACCTGGCTCTGGGAGCTTCCAGCAGAGGTTTCCAGGGGGGCAGGGATTCCAGATAGACCAGGTCCTACCTCTGAGCCCCCAGCAAAATGCAGGCCCCCAGCAGCCCCCAAAAATGGATCTGGAGAGCTATGTCCTTCTCCTGCCGAGTGCTCCAGGATGTGGGTTCACAGCTTGTGGGAACATCACAGTGCCCTGTGTAGAATCCCTGCTGGATCCAGGCTGGGGGTACAGGTCAACTCCAGGGCATGTGAGTAGGACTGCACATGAGAAGCACCTGCTTAGTATTCGTCCTGGAGGGAAATCGCACCTCTGTGACTTCCCATGTCCCAGGTACTGGGTGCCTGGCTGAATTCCCAGCACCTTCTACATCTCTCACCTGATCTCCCCTTCTACTGACCTCTGAAGCTGCCTCCACCATGCCAATCTCCACAATATAGAGCCTGCACACTTGGCTTTGTATTCTGCTTCCTAGTTACTGGGGTGGGATCCTTCTCACTCCCAGCCACATGCCCCATGCTGCTCACACCCTTTTCCTCCCCAGGCACTGCAGGGCACTGCTGGGTGCACAGAAGCACCAGGCCTGATATGTGCCGACTGGGGGTGTTACTGATCCTCTTAGGCCGCCTTGCTTCAGACACAGACTGGCAAGGGGACTTCTGGCCATGCCTGCCCACCCGATCCCGATCCGTGGAGACCACATGGAGCCTTGTGCCCTGGACCAGGCCAGGCCCTGATACATGCTCCCCATACGCTCAGCCAGACCCTGCTACTACTGCCCATGCTGCACTGAGCATCCCCACTCCTCTGTGTCTTCTCCCCTCTCTAGCACCAACTATGACTCTTCCCCAAGCAGCTTACTCCACAAGTGGAGGACCAGCTCACTGTGACAAGCCAGGAGCTTCTGCCCGAGAGCCTGGAGCCAGGGAGGTTCCAACAGGGCAAGGGTGTTCTGCTCTGTGACCTCAGTTTCTGATGAAGAGGCCCCCATCTCACTGCACCCCAGCCCCAGCTTCAGTGCCTGCCAGGTCTAACTGGAACAGCAACAGGAGGGGGCCCTCTGGGCTCTGAGCATTTCCCCAGTCTCACAGGACAGCTGATGACCAGGCCAGCAGGGGCAGAAGCCATCTGCCACCCACTAGCAGCATTGCTTTCTTTACCTTGAACACTGCCAGAGCATATGTTAGCAGGTGCAGTTCCTAATTCTGCCATAAAAATGGTTGTACAAAATAATAATTTACGTTTTTACTCTAAGTTGTACAACTTATGGAGTATTTGTGAAATTATTTTAAATATTTTCCTATTAATTTATAACATTGCTCAGTTCTGGCCACTGCCAGGGTATGGCTGGGAGATGGTCTCCCAGCCATGCAACCAACTTTCCAGGAGGGGACCCACTGGTGGAGCTGCTTAGTGGAGGTGGGGCTAAGCTGAGGAGAGCCTGGGGCAAAAGAAAGGGATGCTGTAGATGCTAATTCATGAGAAACCCGCCTTTCAATTGCTTCATATCCCCCTTCTCCAACACCCTTCCCTTGCTTAAGGGGACTGCAGTGGTCAGAGGTGCAGCAGGTCTCTGGGGAGCTTCTCTCCATGTGCCCTTAATGACACCCTCCTTCAGGTGCCCAGGCATCAACTCTGCTCTCTCTGTGGCAGCTCTTACCATCCATGAGGTGAGCCAGCCCACACTAATGTGGCTGCATTCCCCACCTGCAGCCAGGAAAGCTGGTCACATGGATGCATGGAGTGGCTTCAGGGCAGCTTGAGGGAGGCACCCAGCCCAGGTCATTAGGGGAATCTCTCCTTGACTGTCCCAGGGTGAGGAGGGGCTGAGCGGATGCTCACAGTGTCCCAGTATGGGGGGCTCCCCATTTAATGCCAGCCACTGCAGGGCCAGGTGCTCTGTTCCCCTCGGCACATGCCTGCTCATAGGTCACTATGGGGCACTGCTGATCACAGAAAGCTGATGGGACTGGCCAGCCCAAGTAGGACTCTAGCTAGCTTGTCTCCCCCAGCAGCATGCCTGCAGTGCCACCTCATAGTCATCTGGCTCACTGTGCTGCAGACTTAGCACAAAAACCTGCCCTGGGCAACTAGCATGCTTTGGAGACATGGTCTCCAGCTTGTGGTATCCCACACTGCCTCTGGACAGAATAGACACTGCAGGCTGGGCCCTGCCAGTGCTACATGGCTGCCTCTCTGGTTTAGAGGTGGAGGGTGGTCACTTAGTTCTGTTGGTCTGAGCTGAATACAGCCCTTGGGGCTCACAGGATCAGCCCTATCATAGGACAATATTATGGACACTAAAAATCAGATTCAGAGCCAGAGAGCCTCAGGGAACTCTTTCAGAGACCCATCCTTGCTCGGTGGCCAGGGCCCATGCTGGGGGCTTCTGATAGAGGAGACCCTCAGTGTGATGAGTCTGGATATGGCTGAGAGCTGCGGACCAGGCACTTTCTCAGCAGGGAAAGACAATGGTGCTGAGCCTCCAGAGCTATATTCCCCCTGTGCCCACACACAGACTTCCCCTGCTGCAGGCCTGTTTTGTGACAGGGTCCCCAGGGGTGTCCTCACTAACCACCTTCTTTGTGTGGCTTCCTTCCAGGGCAAGGAGGAGTTTGAGAAAACCCAGAAGGAACTGCTAGAAAAGGGCAACATCATGTGGCAGGGCAAGGGGCAGCTGGAGCAGCAGCAGGTAAGGGTGGGATCCCGTGGACAAGGGCAGGGGATTCCACCTGGCAGCAGGATCCTACAGAGAACTCCCTTGCTTTACTTGATGCGGTGGTCTGCAGTGACCTGCTCTGCAGCGTGCCAAGATGAATTCCAGAATCAAGGGAAAGGCTTTAAGCCCACGGCATTAACAGACTCTTGGTGTTGGGTGAGGAGCTCCAGTGGTACAATTAACTGGCCCTTGCTGGGACTGCACGTGAGAATTGGCCTGCGTGTGTTTCTGCACTGCCAAGTAATTGTAAAGGTGCTCCCTGTTGACTGCCAGAGATGAGCAGAAGGCCTGATTCACCAGGAAACTGCCTTTCCTAGTTGCTAGCCTAGTCTACTTAGTGAGGAAGCAGACATTCACACTGGCCTTTTTCTGTCTTGGTCACAATCACCAGGAACACAGGTTAGCCTGACTGGGTTCTAGCTTCAGGGACACTCTCAGGGCCTTGGTGCAGGGGTTGAGGGCAGCACTGGTACACAAGATAGTCCAGTTTACCAGGTAGAACTTTGGTAGCAATCCTGTTGCTGGAGCATGAGCAACTGTGGCTGACTTGGCAGGGCCCATGTTAATGTCTGGCAGCAAACACTTGCTGCTTTTAGGCTTCAGCTATACCTCCAGTCTGCACAGGAACAGCTCTGAGCAAGGAGGAGCCATCTCTTCAGTAGCTTTGCAAAGCAGAATATCACTTTTATCCATATTTTGCCATTCCCCTGTCCTTGTGCTTGGGTCTAGGCCCCTGCTCTTTACATACTTCATTACTGTGGGATGGCTGCTGCTGAGGGTTGGTCCACAGGGAATGGTAATTTTGACATGGCTCTGTTCAGTGCCCAGTCACACCACAGTCCAGCTGGGAGTTGGCATTGCCTTGCTTCACGGGTGTTATTAGATGCTTCACTACTGCCTCACTGGAGTCCCCTGCTACTAGGAAATTAACGCAAGCTGACCAGTTCCTTGAGACGTGCAGGTAAGCTGTACAGCAATGAGCCAAGGGCTTCGGCAGCATGGCTGAATCTTTCATAGACTGAGGGTGATAGGCACCCAATTTCCCTAGACTGCTTTCAAAATCCCAGCCCAAAGGCCGGCAGTGATTTGTGCCTCTGGCTCAGACAGCGACAGGCTGTTGTAGTTTCTGGAGACAGCTTTGAGGGGAGACATTGTCTCACACATTAAGTCAGTGCATTGGCCCCCATATTTGCCTAACCTCACTGTTTTCTCCTGCCTCCCTGTAGCTGAAGCAGTTTGAGCGACTGGAGCAGGAAGTCACGCGACCCATTGACAATGACCTCTCCAACTGGACCCCACCACAGCATTATGCCCAGGTGCGAGGTGGCAGTGCCCTCTGCCCCTCTGACCGGCAGCTGCTTCTCTTCTACTTGGAGCAATGTGAGGTCAACATTACCACTCTGACCAATGCTGTTGATGCTTTCTTCACTGCTGTCGGCACCAATCAACCACCTAAGATCTTTGTGGCCCACAGCAAATTTGTCATTCTCAGTGCCCACAAGCTAGTGTTCATTGGAGACACCTTGTCACGTCAGGCCAAAGCCCAGGACATCCGCCAAAAGATCACTCACTATAGCAACCTGCTATGTGACATGCTCAAGGAGATTGTGGTGACTACCAAGACTGCAGCACTCCAGTACCCATCTCCATCTGCAGTCAAGGACATGGTGGACCGGGTCAAAGACCTAGCCAATAGCACTCAGCAATTCAGGATGGTGTTGGGGCAGCTTGCAGCTATGTGACATCCTTAAAGTTACACATGCTTATTAAGAACTAGGGTGAGTGTCTGCTAAAGACTCCCTCCATGGAGGCAACTGTGGTCAGCCACAGATGCATGTAAATGGACTTGTAAATATTTAAAAAGACTCCAAGAAGAGGAGCACCGGGAAGGGCAGAAACACCACACAGGAGTGCTAGGCTGGATTTTGTTTTCCTTCTTCCCAATTTCTTGACAAAAAATAGATCATGTCTAGACTGTGCCAGCAATTAAATAAGGATGTTTTACTGTCAAACACTACAGCCAGGATGAAACCAGGGCCTCAGGAAGGGGAGGGGCTATCCTGCAATGAAGAGAAAGAAGCAAATCGTTATTTTTCCTAATTGATTCTGACACCATTCAGTTAATGGGCTATATTAAAAAAATAAATAGAAATTGAATCAAAGCAAAGCAATTAAGGTGAACTACAGAGTGATTGAAAGGAAGTCTGTTAGCGTCACCTCACAATTAGAGGAGATTCTGTGATTTCCCTTGACTTTGGAGCCTGATCTAATTAATTGAACACATTTTAATTGTGCAGGATGAATCAATTCAACAGTATCTCGGTGGAGATGAAAAGGAAACTGAAAACTCCAATGGGGGAAAGGTATACACATGCACACACATACACACACACACCTACATATGTATGTATGTGTGTGTGTGTGTGTCTGTGCATGTGTATGCATATGTGTGTGTACATGCGTCCACGCGTGTGTGTATGTATGTATTAAAAAAGTACAGTTAAACTGTCAGAAGGAGTGTCCATACTCATCCGTTGCCTCATCCAGTGCCACTATCTGTCAGACCGGCAGCACTGGGGTGACAGTGGGCCAGGTGCAGAGAGGTTTGCCTACCCATTGCATTTCACATTTTGGTTTTGCTAATAATACCAGCTGTAGCAGAAATGCAAATTGAAATTGGTGCCTTGAAAAATTGTGGAGCTTCTGCTGGTTCCCAGAGCTACAGAGTCACAGTCTGTATTTATATTCATTTCCATGTACTGTGCTGATGTGAGAGCATAAAAAATTGCCTAGAACTCTTCTGCCTTGTGATTGCTTTCATGCTGTGGTGCGCAGAAAGAGGCCTTTCTCCCGGGAGGAGACTTACTGGCCTCCAAGCATACCAAAATCCAGAGGAAATGAGATTCTGCATTCCCTCTACAAGTAGAGAAAGGCGCATTCCTTGTCCCAACAGGAGCTCCTTAGGGATGGCTTGGAATAGCAGGGACCTCCATGCATCTTAGTGGACATAGTCTCTGTATCTGCAGTATTTTAGTGCTCCGTATAATGCCCTTCCACTGTGATTCCTTGCCATTCACTGCCTAGGCAGGATAGAGAGGGAGACATGAGCAGTGTTGGTTTCCTAGGGGCTGCTCACTACATGGAGTCAGTACCTGCTGAGCCCCTTTCTCACAAGATGCCAAAGGGTTTGTGAGGGGGCATTAGCTAGCCAATAGCCAGAGTAAGACCAGCATGGCAGGCTGCATACCTAACCATATTTCCACATAAGGAACTACATTCCTCTAGCGCTGTGGTGCTTAACCTTTTGGTCTCAAGGGCCAAATGAGTGGTTCAGGGCCAGTCCCTAGGCCAGACAGCCCCAAGATTAGGCCCATATGCCCAGACCCAGTCCATACAGCCTTGATTGGTCCCACATGCCAGGATTGGGGTCCTGGGATCCTGCACAGCTCCAACCTGGCTTGTGTGCTGGGATCAGGGCCCTGGCACCATGTGCCACCCGTGCCTGGTCGTGCATGATAGGATTGAGATGCCTGCATTGTTCCTGCCCAGCCCTGCATGTCGGGTTTGGAATTTTTGTGCTGCCTCTGCTTATCCCCGTGTGCCAGGATCAGGACCTCAGGGCTCTGTGCCGCTTCTGTCCAGCCACATGTGCTGGGATTGGGTCCCATGCTGTTGTGCTTGCTGGATCTAGCATGTAGGGCCATGGTCAACGGGGCTTCCCATGGACTTGTGGGGAGCACTGCAGGCTGGATGACAAGGTGCTGGGGGCCAGATCTGACGCATGGGTTGAGCACCCCTGCACTATCGCATTTCAGCCTATGAGGCCTTTTCCACTTGCACTCCTAAACTGGCATGTAGCATTTCTGTGCATCATTAAACAACAGCCACACTTCAGGCTGCATCTTGATAGAGGACAAAGGATTGCTGGGGACAGTGTACTGAACATTTTGAGGTCCCTTGGGTGAAAGAGACTAGGTCAGTGTCAGTTCTTGTCACCATGCTCCACTGCTGACATCACCCAAGCTTTGTGCACCTCCTTGCCCCATGCTGCTCACTCCAAGCTGACCTGCGCACCCTCCTGCCTCCCAGCTTCTCAGCTTCTGCCCACAGTTTAGTCTGAATCAGGCCCTGTGGTCCTGATAGGAAAGCCCCTAGTGTGGACCCTTCATCCCATTCAGAGTTGTACTGATCTCAGTAGTTGGGGGCAGGGATCCCCTGTACTCAAGAGACAAATATAAGGTGCTATATGTCCAGATGCACACCCACAGAAAAGGGTGGGGGTGACTGTCTGGGCACAGAACTGTCGCAAAGGAGCGGAGGGTTCTGGTGTATCATGGACTCAACATGAGTCAAGATATGCTGCACAAAAAAACAGCTGATGCCATTTTGGGCTGTGTTAATAGGAGTTTTCTGTATAAGAAGGGAGCAATAGCAGCACTCAGCTTATTAAGCAGTTGAAGTATTGTGTCCAACTCTGGGCTCCACATTTTAAGGAAGATGTGGAGAAATAGGAGAGGATCCAAAGACAAGTAACTGATGGTAAAGGGATTGTAAAGTAAGCTATATGAAGAAAGATACTGAAAACTGGGTATGTTTAGTCTGGCAAAGAGATTAACAGGGGCCATGAGAGCAGTTGTCAAACATTTGAAAGGCTGCCATAAAGGAGGAGAAAAAGTGTCCTCCCCTGCCACAGAACTCAGGATACGACGCAATGGGTTTAAACTGCAGCACAACAGATGTAGTTTGAAGCTCAGGAAAAACTTCCAAATCAAAAGAGCAGAAAGGCAATGGAACAAGGGGAAAGTTACCAGAGACTTCTGGGACACAGGGATTTTGTGGCACACTGAGAGCTGAGTGTGCCTACAGCAACAAACAGCCATTCCTGACATGTTTAGAAAGTTGAATTTGTCAAGGTAATAGTCAGACAAGGTTCCTTGGGTTAATTTGATATCTTTTATTAGACCAACCCAAATAGTTGGTGAATAGTTATTAAGCAAGCTTTCGGGTACAAAAACCCTTCGTCAGGCTAAGGAAGTAAGGTAATAGCAATTTAGCAACCAGCTCTGGACCAAGGAGTATCATTTTGCTCCATGTGCCAGCAACAAACTGTACTGGGTCATTGACCCTGTCTGTGTCTCCAGGTGCTGCCAGTGTGAACACTTGATTGATCAGGCCCAGTCTCCCCTCTACTTGTGCCAGCTGCAGCCCCCAGGATGCAGGACATGCCAGTGTGTGGTGTCTAGAGAGGCTGAATGGGGGGTCATCATTCACAACATTTCGCCCCCCACAGAAAATGTCTCCCCAAAAGAATCATGGGTCACGTGCTCACGCCCTGGGCAGAAGCACCTGTTTGGGCAGGCAGAAATCAAAAAAAGGCTGAAAACCGTTAGTTTTTTATGATAAAAACTATCACTGCATAGGGTCCAGGCCCTAGGGGATGCCTGTCTCAGCAAGCCAGCCATTCTCCATAGCTAGGTGAAAGCAGCAATGGCAACAGCACCTGGGGTGGGAGGGTGGAGGTGGGGGAAATGATGCAGCAGAGCCCTCCATCCTCTTGCCTATGGAACCATCTCACTAAGGTTGTGGCAGCAGCCTTGACCCCTGAGACAGCCCCAATTCAACAGGGCACAGCCTGAGGAGACACTTCCAGGATCAGTGCATGAGGGGAGAGTGAGGAGCTGTGTGCCTGGGCCTCATGCTGACATAGGCAATACTGGTATTTCTAATGGCCCCTGCATGGAAATGGTGATCCGCCTCTGTTATGGTGAGGAAAGGGTGAATTTGGCAGGTGGCTGGGGAGTGGGGGGGCAGGGGAGGCCTGGGGTAAAGAAGATTAGAGCATCAGTCAGAAGGACTGGAAGAAGAGACTGGGAGGGTGGGATGATGTGTCACTGAGACAAGTGGGTAGGCCCAGCAGACCAGGGAAGAGGAATGAGGGAGTAGGTGAGGGGAGCAAAAAGTTGCTTTGAGTCTGTGATTTGGGTGTAAATGGGCTACATATGCTTAACATGAGGCAGAGAGGGTAGGAAATCACCCGCTACAGGGCTGCGTTTTTGTTAGAGCCTTCAAGGCCAAACAACCGGACAAGCCATGGACAGTACACAACGATATTCTTCCTTCCACTGAAATGCAGTCACTCCTAGGGTGGAGTTAAACAGCCACAGGAACACTGAACAGCTTCAGGACAAAAGGGACAGAGCATCTTTTTTCTAAAGAAGGGGCAAGTGGGGCAGAAGGTTATATCTGAGCTGGGTGAGCCATGGAGCTTCCAGGCTGGTAATAGCGTGTGGCTGATGATGGGTTTGCTCTAACGGCATCCACTGAGCAGTGTGTGATTCAGTAATGTGCAGCACGAGAACAGGATTGAGACTTTGAAGCTAAAGAGCACTTTTATTGGCTCAGACCCAGTAAAGCCAGCTCAGTTACTCGCCATGGTCAGGGCAATCCATTCATGGAACTCAGTCACGCGGGCATAGACTGCTGGTATGGTGGTGGAGCACTTGCTACTACCCCAGGACACGATCCCCACCAGGTACCAGGCTCCATTCTTTGGGCATACAAGCGGGCCACCAGAGTCACCCTGCAGAGCAGACAGGAGAGCCACACTCAGAAACTGGGCCCAAGGGAGCTCTGCGCCACCCCAGCTGCTGACACTTCAACAGGAACCTAAGGAGCGGCTCACACTGCAAGAGCCTTTGTGTAATGCAAGAGGAACCACACTGGAGATTCCCTTCCCAGGAAGCCTGAAGGAAGCTGACTTCTGTCCTGCCATCTCCACACCCACAACCCTGCTCCAGGGACAATTCCTGGCATGGCTTTTCTGCTCTGTGCCCTGCTCAGTATACCCTCCCAGCCTAGCTTTGCATTGGTCACTGGGAGGCTTGCCTAGAGAGGGGCTGAGGCTCAGGGCCCTCTGAACCAATTACCTCATGAGATCCAGTGAGGGATCAGGGGGCCCTAGAGAGGGAGCCAGGCACGGACTTGGGAAGTATCCATAGCCCTGACACCTACCCATCCCCTAGGATAGTGGTGCTCAATCTAGCCAGCCCTGCAGGCTGGGTGAGTAGTACAGGGCTGGTCTGAGGGCCAGATCCTGCAGGGGGTCAGCACTGCAACACTGCACACTAGTACAATCCAGCTCACAGGTGTCATGTCGTCTGGCCCTGGGGATTCTCTACCCATCTGGAAATCTGGTGGCCAGTGAGCTTGGCAATTAATGCTGCCTCTGGTCCCCCACCACCAAATTTCCAGACCCATGGGGAGCTCCATGGGTTAGATGACATGGCTCTGCAGGCCAGATCTGTCTTGTGGACCACCAGTTGAGCACTACCCCCCTAAGAGATCTGCTGAGAGAACCTTGGCTCCCCCATCCCTACCTCACTCATATGTTCCCCTGCTTGATACCCCTCATAACCTATGCCATAGCCCAGCAATGGAGCAGTCAGGAAGGCAGTCAGCTACAGATGTCCCTGTTAGCCTATTTAGCAGGCATGCAGGGCCCACTCCCTGTGATGGGCTCAATTCTCACCCAGGGGAGCAAGAGGCTGGAAGAGGCTAGTAGCCCTACGAGTTGCATTTGGCTAGGCCCTAGGATTAGCAGCAGCACAGGGTAGCCAACTAAGAAAAACTGAGCTGCCCAAAGGGTCCCTGGGCACTTGAGGGACGGACAGGCTGAATGAAGGGGCCTGGCCCCAGGATACACACCATGCAGGAAGAGGAGCCAGCTGCACCAGCACAGATCATCTGGTTTGTGATCTGGTTGCCCCAGTACTCTTCACACTGAAGGTTGCTCAGCAGGGGTAGTGCTGTCTGCTGTAGCTTGTTGGGGGTGAGGAAAGCTGCAAGGGGAGCAGAATGAGAGAGGGTTCAGGACAGGGTGACATGGGTCAGTTATGGGTGTTGCACTCAGAGTAAGGCCCCAGCAGATGGCATATGTGATGAATGGGATCTGGGTGTGCTTCTGGAACCCCCCCGGATATGTGCAGTGTCTGCACAGATCATTTGAGCTGTGTGAGATCCTGGCAGGCATCCCAACAAATTCTCCCTGACGAGAACCTTGCCCTCTGCACTGGAGATCAGTCATTGATCCACTGGTCCCAAAAGGATTTGGGAGTCCCATCTCCCTTTGCTGCTGGAAGCCTAGGTGGCCAACCTCAAAGCAGCTTGTGCCTTCCTCCTTTCTAGGATCACATCTCCCCGTGTCAGCAGGCATGAAGCTGCAGATGTTTCACTCCACAGAGGAGCACACCTGTCTCTTAGGCTTGCTGATGCTGGAGGGCTCTGCCACAGCTTAGGGACACTGACACCAACAGAAGATGCTGCTTTTATTAATAGTGCCCCAAGTTTCCTCGACTATAGGTCTTCCTCCCATCCCACACTCAGAGAGCCCATAATTTCCTGGGCAGTGTCTCTGTAAGACAGGAAGAGCTGTTATCACAGGGTCTGTCTAACTACCTAGCCAGCCAAGGCCTCCCTAGCTCATCCCTTTGTTGGGCCCCCCCCCAAGGAAAGGATTTCTCCAGGGACCTACTCTGATCCCCCTATCTGCAACCCCAATGCCCAGTACCCTCAACAGTTCAGTCTATGGACCTGCCTCACTCCCAGGGAAGGTCTCATGAGCCAAGGTCTTTCACTGGTGCATGTAGGATGCTGCCACCAGTATAACTAGAGCAGGGTGAATGGGGCAATCAACCTGGGTCCTGAACTGGGGAGGACAAAAATATCTGCTGCCACTAGCTACACAATTGCAATTGCAATCACAGTGGCAACTGGAAGTTGCTACTGCTGCTGTGCCCCAGTCACCCAGCCAGGCCCCTCCACAGCTGGGTGCTGTTGTATCTAGTCCAACCTCTTCACCAGAAAAGGGCCCAAGCCACAAAGCTACATGTTGACTCCGGCCTTTCTGTTAGGCTTAGGGATTTCACTCTGAAGAGAAGGGCTGGCTATAGTGACTGGTCCCAGATCCAGGCTTCTCCCAAGCCCTAGGGTGCTCAGCCCTCAGCTCATCATAAACCCACACTCGCCTGGTGCTGGGTGCTTTCCTCCTTAAGATGGAACTGCTAGATTGACATCAATGGTTATAGACACCCAGCCCCCTAAATACGTAAGAGCACATTACTGTCCAACTGTTAAGAGGAGGCCCAGGGAGGCTAGCTGAGCAGTAGCGGGAGGTCCGTGACCAAGCCTTGCTCCCCCAGGCTCTTAGATTGCTGTCTAACCATGCTGCCTTCCCTCTGTGTGTGCAAGGATGACTATAGAACCCTTCACTAGCCAAGTGGGCAGCATTTGAGGCTGTTCCAGCAGCACCTTCCTAGCTGGCATGGGATCTCCTCCCCTGCAGAGATCCAGCTGACAGCACGTACCGTTGTACCGGGTCTTGCCCCATCCTGTGGTAACGCAGAGCTCGCCACTATAGAAGTGATCCCTGGTTTCTCCCAGGCACACAGGGGAGACTGTCCTGCTGACTTTAGCAGGAGTGGCCAGCTTGATGAGAGCGATGTCATAGTCGATGGTTTGGGGGTTCCACTTCGGGTGGGTGAAGACCTGACGCACAGAAACAGAAACAGGTCCGTGAAGAGAAATTAGATGGGTACACAAATTGCTCCTGCCATCTCCTCTCTCACCAGCAGGCCCAGGCCCTCCACCCCTGGCACAGCCCAGCAGGAGTGCACCTGTGGGGTAGCCCAGCCCTGCTGCACCTCCAGGCCTGGGACAGATCTGAGCACCCACACTGCACCCCAGAATCAGCTCTTTCAGCCCCTGGAAAGCCTGTACAGGGCATACTCCAACTATAGGCTTTGTGCAGCCTCACAGCATGCTGGGAGCTGAGTTGCGTTGTCTGGCACCAAGCCCCACAGGAAACAGAGATAGGGAGCAGGCTGTGTGGGGAAGAAGCAGCTCAGTGCATAAGGGACACTAGCTGCCCCCTCGATACAACTAGTGACTGCTTGGTTAGGGCCAGACTGTGGACAGCCCAGGGCCAGGGGTCACAAAGAGCATGTGAGGAGAGAGGGTCCAAGCCCTGCCCCTGCCCCTTTAACACCATTGGCAACTGCACTGGCTGGCTGCAGGAGGGCACCCATGCTGCACTCTCAGAGCCCCACTGGGGCTGGAGCAATACAGGTCACAGGGCCCTGCCCTGTCCCCAGCTCTTGCCAGTTCCCCTGCTATCACCCACAACATGGGGCTCTCATGCTGAGAGAGCACATCCAGGACTGAGGCTGCAGGTCAACCGCCCAGGCCACAAGGGACTGTCCCCAGAGTGGGCAAAAATGCAGGCTTATTCCACACCACACAGGGGCTCATGACTCAAGGAGGTCTGAGGGGTCTCTGCCTTAGGCTGTTTGTTCTCCTGTTTGCCCTAGCCAACCTGCCTGTAGCAACAATGCCAGAGCAGGAAGGCTGGTGCTGTAAAGCACTCTTACTCACCTTTTTGACAGCCAGTTTCTGTACCTGCTCTGTACTGGAGCCGCGGTCATGTTCCCCAAGCACCACCACATTGGATGTCCTGAGGCCAGAGGAGAAGGCAGTTAATGTCTATGGGAGACTTTCCCAAAGCGGGGGGCCATCTGACTGCAGGAGCCTAGGAAGTGGAGGCTCCTCTGTCCTCTTTCCCATAAACAAGGATGTTCTTGCTAGGTGTTTGATTGGCATCAAATACAATTCAAACTGGATGACAGGGGAAATGGGACTGGATCCATGTGCACTCAGTGGTTTGCTGCCATGATGGCCCCTTGTTTGCTAATCCCATCAGGACCTGATAACATGCCCCTGAGGTCAACGGAGCTGCCACATTTGGCAGTGTGTTTAGTGGGTCTGTATCTAGCACACTTGGGGCCACTTGCCAAGAAGCCTTCATCTGCACACAGTTGGAGCATCCCACACAGGCAGTGACTTGGTGTGCCTGACTCCATGTAGAAGGGAACTCTTCTCACTGGCATGTCTAACAGAAAGCAGACCCTGCTGCCTGGCTAAGCTGTCATGTCCAGGAGCCATAGGTAGTTTCTGACATTGGGAGAGGGAGCTGGAACAATCCCACAGAAGCTAAGGCGTGCTCTTGCTCAGGGTGGCCCTGTCCACAGCATTCTGGTCTCTCAACCGGTTTCTCTCCCCCCTGCTCATCCAGCAGGAGACAGCCAGGTTGCTGAGCCATGCTGCACCCAGTACACCATCCTTCCCCTTCCCCTATTGATAGACCATGAACGGGCAGCACTTCCTACTCACGTCACACCACAGTGTGCAGCTGTCACCACCCAGTCCTCCCCGACCAGGGACCCTCCACAGAAGTGCCAGCCACTCTTCTCCTGCAATATAAAATAGGCAAGAGGAGAGACTGTAAGACCTTAGAGTTGCCCACAGCATCCCCCAAAGGCTTCAGTAACCCATTCTGTCAATAAGGATGCTAAAAGAGAGCTTGGTGAATGAGGGGCAGGGGAATCACTGCAGGGGTGGAGCCCAGGAGGAAAGACATTGTGCTCTACTGGGTTGGAGCACCAGTAACCAATGAGGATGGCATCAACACAGTGACTTCCCACAGCTTCTCACCTGCAGGGAGGCCTGCCAAGGCCAGGATCCAGGAATTGCTTCCTCACCGTTTACAATCCGGGTGTAGCCACTGATGATGGGATGGATGGCTGGAATGCCACATCCTGAGGACAAACGAGTCAGCTAGTATCTCTCCCCACCGTGTCCCATGCTACAGGGATGGGACCATTAGCCACAATAAAGAGAGAGTCCAGATGCAGATGGGGATCTGAACATGATCCCACTCAATCTGCTCATGATGAGGACAGGGTTGATGCTGAACCCATTCCTTCTCATCAATGGTCCCTCATGAAATGGTGCACACTACAGTTTTTCTTAGTATCTCCATTGCCAGTCCTGTAGGTTCACCAGTAACAGCAGCACTGAATCTCAGCCAGTCAGTTATATTTTCACTCCTTAATTACTTAAGCACACTCAGGATTTTGCAGAATGACACTGAGAACAAGGGTTTCTTTCCCAGTCAGCTTTCACCTTCCATCTCTCAGCTTTTTCAGCTGCAGAGCTATACAAATACAAGCTGGAATCAGTTGTTTTATCACAAGATGCTTGCTTTTACACCTCACCCTCTTTATGCTTGAAATCAGTTCAGCCCCTTTCTTTTGGCTCTGGTCAGTCATAGGACATTTCAGCCCTGAATGCTGAATTTCAGGAAGTGGCATGTGACTGAGCACAGCTGGAAACCACCATGAAACCTTATCAGACCATTTCCCACTGCTCTCACTGTACTAACAAACCTTATCCTTCCCAGAGCCCACCAGTGAAAGGCAGCCCTCTCTGGTGTGCGATTCAGCAGCTGCGCACTAGCACACAACAACACTGCATGTTTTAAGAAGGTATTGAAGAAAATTCAAGGACTCTCAGTGACCAGTCTGACAAGTAGGCCAGTGTCAGAGCCAAGAATGGAGCCCAGGTACCTTGAGCCTCAGATCAGTGATCATCCTGCTAAGTCACAAAGCCTCACACACCATACCCCTAGTGGAGAACCCTCCCTCAGACGGCTAGACACAGGGCTGTCAGCCTGCCCAACATCAGCCTATGCCATGTGTGTCCACACACAGGGTTTTCCTGAATCCCAGTCTAAATTATTTAGCCCTGTAATGGCCTTCACTTGTCTATGCAGCAAAAGAAGAGGCTCACTACAGCTTACCATGAGCAGCATTTGCCAGTGTCAGGCAGGAGAGCAGCCACAGGAGAGCCATGTTAGTACCAAGGACAATGAGTTGACAGGGGCAAGAGAAACTCCAGCTCCTTTATATCCACTGGAAACCTAGACTGGCAGGGATGGGGTGGGAACAGGGCCATCAGGTGGGCAGCACCCATGGGAACAGCAGCTCCAGGGTACACATGCCTCGTGATAAATCTGTCAATTATGTAGGAGGTGGAGGTGCCTTTTGGCAAACTGGATTTTTTTTTAGAAGCAGTGCAGCTAAGCTGGTTTCCTGGGCAGGCTGCTCAGAGTAGCTTATCTGCTTTCACAGTGCAGGGCTGGACACCTCCTGTTTGCAAAGGAAGACAGGATTTTCCTACCCCTTTGTATCAAATACTTCAAGCAAAATACAGGGCCTGGTGGTGGCTCAGGGAAAAAAGCAAAGGAGACAGCTTAGTTATTCTATAAATCCTTTTCCTCCATAAGCATCAACATGCTTCACAAAGGGAGTTGGCATCAATATCACCATGGCAGAGATGGAGAAACTGAGGCTCAGGGTAGGGAAGTGACTTGCCTAAGGCCACTCAACAAGTCAGCAGCAGAGCCAAGAATACAAGCCAAGGGTCCTGAGTGTCAGCCCAGCACCATGCCCACAAGATACCAATGTTCTGAACAGGGGGAAACTGGGCCCTGGGGAGAGCTTTCTGTCAGGGGAGAGGGGAAAAATGAACTGAGAAAGAGATGCTCTAGAACAAGGCAGATGAGCAATGCTGTTCTCTTGAGAAAGGAGGTGCGAAGAGGGAGGTCCATGGGGTGGAGGCTAGCACTGGGGCAGGGAAAGCTGCTCTGCACTGCAGATGAAGGCATGGCTGCCTTCCCTTAAAAGCTGCACTGTGGTTGCCCTAAGGATGTGTGACACTGCATGACAGATCTGGCAAATGTGACCCTCTCACTGGCTGAGCAGCTTTCATCATTCCCAGCAGGCTGCCCAGAACTGTGCAGCAGTGTCCTGCTGCTGCTCTGTGCCAACTGGTGGCAGGGAAGAGAACAGAACAGAATATTGCACCTGGCCACAGCTCCTGACATCCAAATCCACCCTTCCCTCTACATAGCACTTGATGTCCAGAGGCCCCAGTGGATGTCACAAGCAGTCATTAACATGGCCTTGCAAGGCCGCCCTGCCTGGTGGAAAGAACTAGTCATGCTATGTAAAGGGGGGAAATTGAGGCCCACGTTGGAGAAGCAGGTCACCTAAGCCAGGGGTGGGCAATTATTTGTGCCCACGGACCACATAGGCAGTGTTGGAGAACTGTAGCAAGTTGGTCAGCACACTCCCCATGCAACAGCCCGGAACCTGTGCACCCTGCAGCTCCTCCCTGCCACTGCTACCAGTGCCCAGCAGCAGCTGAGCACATAGCCCCAGCCCTGACCCTGGCCCCAGCCCATCCCATACTCCCTCCAGACTCACCCTGGCCAGAACGGACCAGCTCCAGACTGGCCAGGACCTACGCATGCAGCCCCGTCCTTGGCCCATCACACGTCTGCTCTGGACCACCCACCCATGATGAGCAGTGGTGGGAGTGACAGTAGCCAAGCAGAAGCTGCTGCTGAGCATGAGGGGAAAGTGGCCACCTCCCTCTCACCACTGCTAGAACGTTCTTGCTGCAGCCGCCTGGAACCTAGGCCTGGGCTGCCCTGCAGCTGCTCTTCACTGCTGTCATCATTGCTACCAGTGCCACCTCTGGGCCAGCCACCCAGCAGGGCAGTAGTGGCAGCAAAGAGGAGCCTCAGGGCAGCCCAGGCACATGCTCTGGGCAATCACAGCAAGAAGGACCCAGCAGCAATGAGGGGGAGATGGCCACTTCCCTCCCACCCAGCAGCAGCTTCTGCCTGGTTACTGTTGCTGCTCATGGTGGGCAGACAGTCCAGAGCAGGTGTGGGGTGGGCCAGGGTTGGGGCTGTGCACATAGGTCTTGGCTGGTCTGGAGCTGGTCCACTCCAGCCAAGGTGAGTGCAGAGTGGGTGTGCGGCAGGCCAAAGCTGGGGCCAGGGCTGTGCGCACGGGTCCCTGCCTGTCTCCATGAGGCTGGTTCCAAGTGGCAGCCAAAGCTGAAAGGAGCCTCTGTCACCTGGGCTGCCTAAAAATGGAGTCCAGCCATGAAGCTGCTCCAACCCCGCTGCACACTCAGGGACAGCAGGACTCACCATGGGTCAGGCAGGCTCTGGGCCAGGTGGGACCAAGGGACCCACTGGGGGCCACACAAAGTCCTTCCATGGCTGGATCTAGGCCACAAGCCATATTTTGCCCACCCCTGGCCTTAGTGCACATAGCCAATGGCAGAGATGGAGCAGGAGCCATAGAAAAAGATGCATAATCTAGTGCTTACAGCTGGGCACTGGAGTCAGGAGAGCTAAGTGATGGCCCCACTGTGAATCAGCTTCCTTTTGCATAATGAGAATACCCATGCCTGGGGGTGGTGAGTAAAGTCTGGTTAGCATCTGTTTGGAAAGCCACTGTGTTCATAGATACAGTACTTAATGCTTGGGCTTGCTCAGTTTGTGAAGAATGATCTCCTTATATACCCCAGGACCTTCCAATACAAAGAAAAACCTGCCAGAGCTCATCTAAAAGTCAGAAGGCTCAATCTACCAGCCTCTGGTGGATCTTAACAGCACCAGCAACATTACCTAAGAGTATGGGACAGGAAGAGACATATACTTTTCCCTACTGAAAATCCAGGGAGAATCTTATGTAGGAAAAATGTAAAAATGCAAGCAGGACTTCAAGCACCACCTGAAGGTTGGCAGCCCTATTCCTGCACAAAGCACCTGGGTAAGGCAGGACTTCTCATGAAGAAGGTGATTGGCAGTCTCCTTTGTGCCACACCAGAGTGCTGGCTCATATTTAAGCCTGAGTGAGGAAGACCACTGACTTACTCCAACTCCACTTCCCTCAGTGCATTAAAAAGAGAGTTCTCCCTCTGACATAATCTGGGCCAAAGTGCCTTGGTCAGTCACAGAATTACTAATGAATGGCAACAGCACAGAAGACAAGCAAAGGTGAAAGGATTCATTCAGACCATCATCTTCTACTCCATTTCCCCACTGCATCCATGAATGTTACCCTGAGCAGTTTTACCCTAAGGGTAAAAACTCTTCCCATAGAGCTCCCAAACTGCTGTCTCCCCTCCAGCTTCACACTGGGCAGATGAGGGCAGGCCAGTGTCACCACTCCTAGCCCTGGCAGGTGGATCCTAGGTGGCACATGCTTGGTGTTTTAATTGCAAAAATCTATTCAGATTTGTCCTTTGCTCCCAGTTTCCATACTCAGCATGCTGCCAGCTCTGGGTGTCTCCCCAGCAATGACCAAATGGGACCCTCTGACGGGCAGGGACCCTCTGGATATCCCTCCAGATGCCCTGCCCTGTTCCTGGGGATGGCCATATCACACACTCACCTCTAAGCAAGTAACAATGGAAACAACTGGTTTCTCACTGCAGCATGCTGGCTGCCCTAAGCATCAACCCACTACACAGTGAGGGGCAATAGACCCCATCCCAATTCCCTTCCCACTCTTTCATGGGATCCCTTGCAATAATGTTCCTTCAGACTGTGTGTTCCCATGACCACAGCAATGAGGACCAAAGGGTCAGAGATCAGCCCCAGGACTCACTGGGGAGCACCTCCCACTCTGTACAGCAATGAGGAGGGGAAATGTCAGCCTGGACATATCCCAGCCCTGGGCAGCTTGAACTTTCATTTGGCTCAGGCTCTTATCTCCATGTCCCATGACACTGTTTTAGGCCCATCCCTGATGCCAGGATGTAGATGCTTGAAGGGAGAGGCCTCATGCTTTTTATGCTAGAGTGAAGACCACTGTGAGAGCTGCTCCTTGCTAAATGGCACAGCTGACAACTTTCTCACCTCAGCCCCTTCCTGTTTCCATGGCCACTGGTT